CGTATACTCCCAAATGAAGGGAGACTTTATAAGTCTCACATGGGGTTCCCACCGAATCTTTGTAGAGTTGGTGCTAAGGTATTGTGCCTGCCAAGAAGATAACATTCCTCTTCAAAAATCAGTCCTAACCACTGCTCTGTCAATCACCTATTTAAGCTGTTGGTTGATTAAGATTATTGATCATCTACTTTTATGATAACTGAATCTAGAGTTCACTTTCCTGAGTCAGACTAAATCGAGTTCAAATCCCTTCTTTGCTACTTACTGTGTGACTGTGGGTAAATTACTTAGCCTCTCAAAGCTTCTGTTTACTTACCTATAAATTGGAGTATTAATAATAGTACCAAGTGCCTAGGGTTATTGTGGAGATTCAGTGAGATAATGCATGTGTAATTCCTAACACGGTACCTGCCAGCAGGAAGCCGCTGGAAAATGCTACTGCTTTTACCTCTTGGAGCGATCGGCCTGCATCTTTCGGTCGTTGAAAGGTTTTTAGATAATTGTTTTAAGCTACTTTTCACCATATTTTTCATGTAATCCTTGATGAGCCCTCCTAGATTGTTCCTGAAAATCTACCCATTTGTAACACTTGTTTACTCAGTGGGGTTAGTCAATCAATATGGTAGTTATTTCTTGTTTTCCATTTCTTTTCTGTGTAGTTTTTTTCAGGCTTTGGTCCTGCTGGCTTGTAGTAATATGCATGACTTTCTTCACATCATCTTTGTATATTTTGTGAGTAAGTTCTTCATACCAGCAGCTGGAGTGATACCACACAGCTCAAAGAGAGAATCTCAGGCTTCATTAGTTTCCCACAACTACCATGTGAGCATTTGAATCTCTGCAAGGCAGAGCTCTGGGGAAAATTCGAAACTAAAATGAAAAGCAAGTGTCTAGCTGGAATTTAGATCAAAGAAGATATTATTCTGGTAGGCTTGCTCTATATATGAATTACACATAGCCACAGGACCTCCCATCGTTGACTGGCTTGATAATTATAATTCTTGAAGATTCTTCTGTGATACTTTATAGTTTATACTGGTACATGTAAATATTAAGGATTGGGCATCAAGAAAGAATACTAAGCTAATTTCTAAGAGTTCTAGTGGCACTCATGCTATGAAGTAAAATCAACCTGCATAAACGTATTGAACATATATTCAGTGACCCATTTAGGTTGTTGCAACAAACATTTACTCAGCCCCTTATACTAAGTATGAAACAGAGACTCTTTAAATCCATTTCTCTTCAGGATGGGGAGAGTCACACATCATGTGAAATATGAGCAACATATCAAGTGAGATATTTTTACCCCTATTTTACACATGAGAAATTGAGGCTAAGATTTTCCAGGATTATGGCTACTAAGGGGCCCAAGTGGGATTTGACCCTTAAGCCTGTGGGACTTAAGTCTGGTACTTTTGGCTGTTAGAGTTCCCAAACACGTAGGTTTTTTTCCCCACACCAACCAATTCTTCGACAGCAGCTGGGTGTCTGACCATTCAATTCAGTTCTGACACTGTTTCCTGGAGTTAATGTCAGATCCCTCAAGGTAAAGGCTCAGTCTCACAAGACCACTCCCACCTCAGGTACCAATCGCAAGTCCCAGGTTGTCACTTGTACTTATGACTGATTGGCTATAAATTGGGTTCCCATGGCCCCCTCCTCAGGTGTAATAATTTGCTAGAGCACTTCACAGAACTCAGGATAACACTTCCTTAAGACTATTGGTTTATTATATAATAAAACATATGATAAAGGATACAAATGAACAGCCAGATGAGGAGAGATAAAGGGTGAAGTCTGAATTCCAAGTGCAGGAGTTTTGTCCCTGTGGAGGTGGGGTGTGCCACCCTTCCAGACTGTGATGTATCCAGCAGGCTGCAAGCTCCCTGAACCTTGTAGTTCAGAGATTTTTATGAAGGCTTCATAGGTAGTCATGATCCGTTATTAACTCAATCTCTAACCCTTCTCTCCTCCGCAGAGGATGCGGCTAAAGGCTTCAAGCTTCTAATCATGGCTTAATCTTCCTGGTGACCAGCTGTTAACCTGGATCTATATAGGAGTCCACCAAGAGTTAATTCATTAGAACAAAAGATGCTCGTATCACTCTCGAAATTCCAAGGGATTTGAGAGCTCTGTGTCAGAAACTGGGGTCAAAGACCAAACATTAAAATGAAAGATGATCTTTGCACCTTTGTTAATTAGGAAATTACAAAGTTTTTAGGAGCTCTTGCCAGATGTCAAGATGAGGACCAAAATATATATTTTTTATTATATCACAATATTACATGTCCTGAGTTTCTTTTTTTTTTTTTCCAGGGTTTTACCCCAGATTTAGTTTCTATTATGTTTCAAACAGCCTATAGAATTTGGCCACTTGTATTGTATTTTTTCTTGACAAACCATGTAGTTTGGACTTCAGCATACTCCTTGGTTGATTAAGGTCATTTGTTTCATCATGATGCATATGTTTTGAATTTCAAGAGTATGTGTGGATTGGAGGAATCTGGAATTTCTCCAGAAAAATCCAGGTGCATTTGTATGAAATGCAGTTTGGTTATGCCCCGTCCCCCCCAGTGCCATCTTGGGCCACTACCCCATTTCCTCTCCACACTCCAGTCACACAGGCTCTAATAAGACATTGTGTTGTATGTCTTGCCACAGAAAGTTTATGCACATTCCTTACCCTTTTGTCCGGGAGGAATTTATAATACTGGAGAGGGCTGACAGTAGAGAGGCAGTATAGTGCTGTGAATCAGGTATAGCAGTTCAAGTTAGAAAGATCTAGGTTTTCTTCTTGGCTGCATTGCTTCCTGAGACTTCTCTCTCTCAGGGTCAGTCTTCTCATCTGTAAAGTGGGGATAATAGTAACAATTTCCTTACAGGTGGGTATTAAATGAACTCAGTCATGTAAGGTGCTAGGTACATAAATGCTTGTCATTGTTATCAGAAATGAGGCAGGGTCTCAGTACTCTTGCATTGATGGGTTTAAGGTCCCTTATTTCAATTCTATCATTTCTACTTCTTTGTATATGTAAGTCATATATGCTATTGAATTTCAAGAGCAAATGTGAAAGGATTCTAGTGAAATGATTTGCTTCTTTAGTGTGATACATATTTAAAAAAAAAGAAAGTAAATGTCAATGTTTGTGTTTCCTTTATTCTAAAGAATGAAAACCAAATAGAGTTGGTCCAGTAATAAAAGCAAGTACACTTAATTTTCAAGTAATAAAATCAAGTACCATTAATTATTTTGTGAGTTGTATAAGTCAGCTAACCTCTCTGGGCTTCAGCTTCCTCCTCTGCAAAATAAATGAGTTAGGCCACATAATTGTACTGTTTCTTTCCAGCTAAATTTGGTACCATTAATCACTAGCAAATACATAATATTAACTAGATGCTATACAGTCATCCTTAATATGCTTGAAGATAGTTATCAACTCACTCCTTAGCCTTTGTTGTCAATCACAGAAAAGTTTTGGGAGCCTTGGTTTCTATTGTATATGTTCTTAAGCTCTGTGATGCATTTCAGAGCCTCTCTTTGTAGATCTGGGTAGTCTGGTAGCTACAGGATGGGGTAGCCCTTTAGAGAAGAGTGCCCTGCCTTCTATACATGGTCTCCAGAAAAACATCAGGGTCTGGGTAAGACATAGGTTCCCCTAACTGGGAAGAGGGTCAGAGCAGGGAAGATTGGTCAAATTCTAGAAGTGAATCCTTCTTTAGGACCCGGGGCATGACTTCATCATTTACCCTTAATTCAGAAGTGAAGTGAATCATTTCCAAGGACTAATTGCTCCAAAAGGCAGAAAGATGTATTAGTATGGGGGTTGGGGGGTGGTTCACAAGGACTGTGCTTGTGAGAAACCTGAAATGTGAACAAAGAGAGTTTATCAGGAGAGGAAATAATTTTGATCTGTCAGTTATCAGATCGGGGGGAGATATATGAAGGTTTCTTCTTCTTATATATAGGTCATCAAAGATATTCACTGTAGAATTTTAAAATAGTAAAAATTGGTAACAACATTAGGGGATTGTTAAGCAATTTATATGATTATGGAATGGAATATTATGCAACCATTACAAATGATGTTTGTAAAGAATATTCAAGGGTCATGGGAAAATGTTCAGGATATAACAGACAATAGCATATATCTGTTGAAAATTTTTATAGTCAGGATAAAAAATAATACAAGCTATCTTTAAAAATCCATACACAAAATACAAAATTATAAAAATTATCTGAAGCTGAGATAATCAGGAAAGGAAAGGTATTACTGGAAAGGTGTAGAGAAAGCCATCAAGTGCCAAGATCCTGCCCCATGTGCCAAATGAGGAAGGCGGAGTCAGCCATGCCCGTGGAACGACCCTAAATGCAGAAGGCTGGCCAATGGGGCAGGGTTGTGGAGGCGTGGCTACCGGCCAGGGGAGCCTGCTACGGAGTCTCCTTTCACAGATCTTACTTCACCTTGAATGATTCCTTGAGGGACACAAAGCATGAGATATCAAGGGGTTTTTGTTCACCATACTCTCCCTACTAAGGATACGTGATGTTTCTCGACTCTCCTTTTGTTTAGGGAAACTCCTCCAAAGGCCCAGTGGGCTGGGTGCTTGCAAGTGGGGTGTGTTTCTCTAAATTTCTGGAAGTGAGCTGGAGGAAATTGGGCATAACCTAAGCAGTGTGTACTAACTGCACCGACACAATATTTGTGTCTCCCAATATTTGTGACTCCTCCCAACACTGATGCAGGTGCTCCCCAAATCTTCAACATAATTTTGCTGTTGTATTTTGACCCAGTCGATCCGCATCCTCTGAAGAATTTTCCTCCGTAATTTGCTTTATTCCTCCTTTAGAACACCTTGTGTGGCAACCCTAAAGTTTCTGCTAGGTTTCCAGCACCCATTTTTCACAGTTCGGATACCCTTTCGTCCGCAGAGAATATTTCTCAAGAGCCCCCATAGAGTGACCAACATTCTCTTTCAGGGAGAAGAAAAGGCTTGCCTTTGAAGAAGAGGAAAAGTCTGAAGTCATCAAAACAAGGCAATATCCTGTGTGAAATGTTGCAGTCACGATGCCTTGTGGTTTGAGTCCCTTGGTCATGTGCCTGGAGGGAAGGAAGTCAGTGGCGGCCGTGGATGACGAGACGCTCAGGGCCCGGCAGGTGCGCCCCTTCAGCTCACCTCGCGCTTCGGGCTCCTCAGGGAGGAGGGGCCGAGCCCCGGGCCGCCGCCGGCACAATGATCCTCAGGCTGCTCCTGGCTCTCAACTTCTTCCCCTCAATTCAAGTAACAGGTGAGCAGTTTTGATTTCTTTCCTCCTCTAACTTTTTCTTTTGAGGTCTCTGATTGAAATTTTAAATGAACAAAGCCAAACAACTTGTGAAATGTGGACATTTGAAGTATAGTTTTGTTCTAGCATGGTGACCTCTTATTATTTAGAAACTCCCCAGTTCTCAGACTGAAGTGTATTTTAACAAATAGTCTTTGAATTTAAATAAGGTTTATTTAGCTGTTAGTTGGTGGTGTCCCAAGAATTTTTAGCGTGCTTGTGTGTGTATGTATTTAATTCAAGAAATCTGCTGTTAAGCAGCTAGGTTCTGAAAACTCTGGATTTAGACTTCCTGGGTTCATATCACAGATTCATTTCTTACTAGCTGGGCATAGGCTAGTATTTAAGCTCTCTAAGCCTCAGTTTATCTGCAAAATGGGGACGATAATAACCTAATCTCAAGGTCATTGTGAGGATAAAATGAAATCATTGTGAAATGCTTAGTGCAGTCAGTGCTTAGCTAGCAAGATAGTTTAATTGCTATGTCTACCGAACTGAATGTGTGCCAAAGTGAATTCTGGAGTTGTCACAGAAGCCGGTGCAATACCAATGCTAATAAACTAGTTTTCTTTTACAGTTGGCTGAAATCTGTTTTCTTAGATTAAAACCTTTAAGTTCCCTGTTATGAGGCGGAGGATGATCCACTGTTACAGAACACCATTTCAGGTGAAGAGACTGAAGGGTAGGAATGTTTATTTGCTCAAGGACATCTAGCTATCAATTGTTGGAGGCAGGGTCTGAGCCACCTTCATCTGACTCCAGAGCCTGTGCTCTTGACTATCATGCTTTTCCACCTAATAGGATGCGGATTGCAGTTTCATAGCTCCAGATATGCCCAGGGTGAAGTCATCTTTGGAAAATCACAATGCCAAACGGAAGGAGCTTGCTGCTTTGGTAGGCTGGAGTAAGGTTTGTTCAACTTGTTCTCAGAGTCAGAAAAAAGTCTCCTTTAGCTCAAAAATTGGATGATAGGAGTTAATGAGCATGCTTAAATAAGAATAGCTATTTTTCCCTTGAAGACACATTCAAAAGCCAAAATCTTCCATTTTCTTTATCATTTATTCTGGTGCTCTGGAAACTGAATTATTCGTTGTTCTTAAACATCATGTGCATGCACTCCAAAGGATATGATTTCCCAACCTGCACAAGCACAATAGTTACATATATACTCATCTATTTCCTTGTCTGATGAGCACATTTAGAAATTGTGCATATTTATAAAAGATGTTAATATAATGAAAGACATGCATTGGTGATGAGCTATGTTATGCCATATTATCTGGTGCCAAGCACTAAGAGCTAACTACCCAATGTATTTTAAAAGACTCTTTAAAATTTATTTTTAAAAAGGTCTATATATTTTATTTTTAAGGGATCTTTAAAATTTAACTGTTTAAAGTTTCTTAATTTATTAGACAATAAAGAATAGGCAGAAAGGAAAGAGAAGCCACACTCTGACAGAAAACCCTTTAACATTCATAACTGTGCACAAAATACTTCTCTGATGTGCTTTGTGGATAACCATCTGTCATCAGCCCATTCACTCTCTTGAGAAGATATTTTTTGTCAGACTCAAAGATTCGTGTTTTTTTTTAAAACATTTATTAAAATAGGGGGACTGCTTAAAGGGCAATTGAAGAGTTCTCACACATGGAACTTTGTTTTCTCCTTTGTGATACATCTGCTTTTCAAATGCCAGCTCATCCATGTAATGACTTTTAAGATTTGATGCAGAGTGGAGTTGGAGTGGAGAGGGTACTTTTGAAATGCTTCATCTAGTATGAAAACTCATGAGAAAAAAATAATTACAACATATAAAAATGTATGAGCCATTCTAATCAGTGGTGCAAAACCTTCCACTCACTTGCTGTTTCTGTTTTTACCCTCCATAGAAATTACAGATATGGTAATTCTCCTGTCCAAGTGTAACTGTCCTCCCTAGGACTATGAGAGACTACTGGTGTGTCTGTGTGGACATGTGCCTGTGTCTCTGTGTATGAAGGGCAGTTCTTTTCCCCACTAATTTAAGAACTAACTCATTGGCTTATAGCACCGCTTAGTGTATCTATTCTATGAAGGTCAAATCTAATCTCATGCTCACGATTTTAATGACACTATAGAAAGACTTTTTTGGCTAAATTATTGAAGTATGATTTAGGAAGCATGAGGAACCTTAACTTAGACAATTCCTTTATGAAAATTATGTGTTTTTGACCACATCTGGATAAGTGTGCCATTGAGATTTACAACAGAGGATTTTGTTGGACTTCAGAATATGAGGCCAGCTTAGAACTGGAGTTTGTTGTAAGAAAATCAATTTGTGATTGATGACAGGAGTGGGCATATAATACACGGCATTGTTCATAGATTTTTCAGCTAATCTCGGTTATTTTTCAACAAGCTAATCATTCAGTATGAAGACAAAAATCAGGACAATGTACTAATTTTTCCATAAACATATTCCTTTTCATTTCTCTCCAAACCTTAGCAAATAAACTTTGCTAAGCAAAGAAACTGGCCAAGTGGCCAATTTGAATACGATCAATTTCTCCAGTGCTGCTACATCTACCTGAGCACTTCTTTTTTCTGAGAGGCATAGACGGAAGGAAAATGATTGGCATTTAGTCAAAAATCATCAGCAAAACAAGGTAATGAAAAACTTCTAGTTGGGCCAAGGACCTCGCTGAGGTAGTTGTACACAGAGAAGTCATTTACCTCTTATAAGAAAGTGTTGCCCTGAGCTTGAGTTTGGGAAATTAAAGTAAATCAGATGGACATCGAAAATGCAACACACTCAGCAGATTGCTGTATCTACGTGACATCTGAAACACTGTAGCCAGTTTTTCTGACTGTTAAACAATTGACTGGGTGGTTACTCATCTCAAGTAAATTTGATGGACATTTCACAAGTGCCGACATTGTTTAAGAAAGTGTGTTAACTCTACTACTGTACAATACAATACTACTTTCTTTTCCTTTTTAAGGCAACCAGCCAAAAAGGACTTTTACAGCAAGGACTGTAAAATTAATATCAACATATCAATGCCAGGAAATAGAATGAGTCGTTTTCACAGATAGATTAGAAAATGGAAATGAATCTGTGATCATAATTCTGAAGTTCTCACATTCAAACCTTCCCTACGGCTGGGGGTGGGGGTGGAGAATCTATTTGGCCGCCTCTCCTTCAGACATAGACCCTCTTCCTTTTTAATGTCTTTATTTTATTTTCCTGAGTGGAGAAAGGCCACATGACTACCAATCAGCTTTTATCATGCGTGGATGCTTTCCTCCAAATGTTTCCTGTGTGCAGTGTGCTGACATTTACAAAATAAAAATTTTATGCCACCAATCTCCCAGAAGAAAATTCCATTTGTAGCTTATCATCTTTAAAACAATAGCTCTTTATTAACTAGTATAAGCATTGATAAAGATACACAATTCATTGCAGACTTTTTTATCTAAAAATCAGAGGGTAGGCATTCCTTCAAAGCACAACTTAATTTTGCAGCATGTCATTGAAAAGGATAAAATCTTTCCCCCTTTGCATCTTGGTTAAATTTTCACTTGCCTTTTTTCTTGAAGAAATATATTATTTATGGAACTTCACAGAGGCTAGAGCTTTTCTTCCCAGTAGATAGTTTAGCTGAACTCCAGGGAAAAAAATGTGACACCTGAGTGGCTTCGTGACTGACTGAAGGTGTCTATTTTTCTGAGCTGTATTAAGGAATTTGTCTCTTTTATGGTGTTCTCTTTGGCTCTTTTTGGTCAATGACATGGCGTTATCATTAAAAAAAAGTACCCAGAGCTTTCAGTCTGAGAATCGTCGCATAAGATTTGGTCCTTGAAGCTGGGGTGGGGGGGCGGGTGCGGGGGACGTTTACCTAGGCCCCATGGAGAAGTGGCTGGAAAGCAGGTGTCTTTTGTTACTTTCATTTTTATGACATGAGAAGAGAGACAATGCTGGATGGGATCCAAAGCCACTCAGTCGCTTGTTAGATGATGTGAAAAAGAGAGAGCAGCCTTCTTTGGCCTTCGTATTTCAATGTTAATTTCATTGGCATCTTTATTTAGTCTGGGTGTCACCAAATAGGTTATGTGTGTTTATGTTTTCCTTGCTGGAAGAGAAGAACCTGCATGGGGGTGAATATCTTACTTACCTTTGAGCCGAGCCTTATCTCTGTGTCACCGCTACTGTCATCTTTTTCATTTGCCATCCCTGTCATTATCTGGGGCCTCTAGCTGCCAAGGTAACCAGTTCATGGTTGCTGATGGTGTCATAGTGTCACCCACGCGCAGACCCATTGACCTCTGGTCTAATCATCAGCCCCTTTCTGCAGCACCTGAGTCACCTTGTTGGCTCCCAGTCCACCATGTAATGCACTGATTGGAGCGGTAACTCCTGTTCATCACCCACTCATTCACAGAAGGATCTGAGTTCTTGACATGTCTTACATTTTAATAATGACATAGATCCCTTGTTAAGAACTTAGGTGGGTGTTTGATTTTTCTTTTCTAACTTGCTGAGAAGGTAGAGGGTTGTGCTTTTCATTGTTAAGGGATACTTGACACATGATGAAGTGTCAGAATATCACTGTGGCTATATTTGTCACTTCTCTGTGACCCGATGACTTTAATATTGAACACTACTCATAATAAGGGTACATAATTTAGGACCAGCTTTAGGGATGTTGAGTTCAGGAGGGCTTCATTTCTGGCCCACAGACACTATCCTATAGAAGATGGGTGAGAATGGGTGCATATAAGGAGAATATCTTCTTCCACCATGAGGCCCCCCAGGGAGACTAAAACAGGGTGTTAGTAGTTCCTGTTCTCTAAAGTGCTTGCTCCTTCTTATGTTAGTGGTAAGATAGGTCTTCATTCATGTGTTTATTCAATAGATATTTATTAACATCTTCTATGTGCTATTCTGGTTCTGTGACCAATACAAAAAGCTAGTTTGGGTT